GCCCTGTACCGACTCAAGGGCCGCGCCGGCTCCAAGCCCCTGGCCGTCTGCCTGCCCGACGTCCCCCACGTCTACCGGTGAGCCCAGGGCGGAGGGAGGGGGGGAGAACTCCCGCTTGGCCTCGCGGGTCAAAGGCCGCCCGCGCCTCTGGTTTAGCCCCGCGAAGGAGCTGGAAGAGCCGAGAAGAGAGAGGCCTGGCGGTTAGGGTTGTTCAGGGCCGACGCTTCTCAGCCCCCATTTTGAGCCCTTTCTCCTCCTCCTCCTCCTCCCGTAGGTACTGCAAGGTCCGCGTGCCTGATGAGCTGCTGCACGACCTCCTCCCAGGCCCGGTGACGCTCGTCCTGGAGCGCTCGGATGCCCTCAACAAGGACCTGAATCCCTTCACCCCAGTGAGCCTTGAACCCGCTCTGCATTGGGGTGCATTCAGGGCAGGAACTGCTCTCTGTGATGGGAAGGGAGGGCTGAAGGGCTGTGTTTAAAGATCCAAATCAAAGGTGTTTAGATCTCCTAATGTTTGCTCTGCATTCAAAGCTAAAAGATATATTGGGCAGGTTAAAACACTTGAACACTAGATACCAAGATCTCAAGGTCTAAAAAATACCTTTCCACCTTTTCCCCATTCATTTCTTACACTGAAATGTAGAGTTGTTTGTTGTGAAGTGAAGTGGATGAGGTTTGTGTGTGTGGGGGGGGTAGGGGGATGGGAAGATATGTGATGTTGTAATAGGAAAAGCACTTCTTGCTATGTTTTTATATGTGCGTGCTGAAAGTAATTAAGTAGCGTTCCTTTATCTCTATCTTTTATCATAGCTAGTTGGTGTTCGCATCCCCGGTCACTGGTTCGTCAGGGAAGTGGCCAAGCTGTGTGCAGCCCCTCTGGCCTTAACAAGTGCAAACCTCAGTAACAAAGCAAGTAGCCTCACAGTCACGGTAAGGCTGCTTTAAAATCTTGTCAGAATGAGGTGGGGACAGTGGCGTGTATTTCTCTGTCTTTCTGTTGTTGCAAAGTGAGCATCACAGGGCAAAGTGAGGCTGCTGTCAAGGCTCAGTATGCAAATCTTTGCAGGATCTTCCTGTGGAGGAAGGCTAGTCTCTTCTAAAAAGTGAAGAGACTGAATCTTGCTTCTGACCCAGCTCTGACCTTGCTTGAACTCTTGAGCAGAGATTTCTTAAGCTCCTCATCCCTCCTTTAGGAATTCCAGGAGCTCTGGCCTCACCTGGCGCTGATTGTGGACGCAGGCCCAATTGGGGACATCCAGAGTCCAGAGTGCCGTCTGGGCTCCACTGTGGTTGACCTCTCTGTTCCTGGCAAGTTCAAGGTTATTCGGCCAGGCTGGTAAGGCTCCCTTTGAGCTTTTGTAGGCTGTGGGTTTTTTTTGTTTTAGAAAAAAAGCTGGAATTCAGCCATACAGAAATGTAGGGGACTTGCTCTGGCAAACAGTTTTGCTGAACACCATCCTTTTGCTCCTGTGAGCATTGTGTGTTTGTATGTTAAGGGGGAGGTGGGAAGGCTTCTGTCAGCTTTTCCGTCCAGCACTTTTCAAAGAGCTGATACTGAACCAACATTCAGGAATGTTAAGGGGAGAGGTATGCCACTTTCCTGCCCATCCCTGCCCTCTCAGTTCTGTTCTTTTTCTTTCCTGCAGCGCCCTTGCCCAGACGGTGGAAATCCTGGAGAGCAAGTATGGACTGAGGAGTGATTTGCCTAGTTCATGAAGCACTCGGCTTCTGGGAAGCTACATGTTGGACAGCAATCCAGAGTGCCCTTCCCTGCTTTGTAAGAAGAAAGGTGGTGGGAGTGAGCTCTACTTGGCTGCAAAGATAGCCGGCCCCCCCAATTTCCATGGCACTTTTCTATGTTCCTGGTCAGAAGAAGACTCAGAAGTACCTAGTACTCTAGGCTGAATATCTCTTCCCTCTTTGTCTTTGTTTCCTTTGGGATTTAAAGGAGGGCTGGCATAATCTTGGGTGCCTCTGCTTTTGCCAAGGAGCAAATCCATTGCCTCCCTGCTCCTGAACCACCTGGCTTGTGTTAGCTGAAGGGTGAGAGATCCTTCTAAGGAGCATTTGAGTGCAAGTGAGATAGGAGAAGTTTGGTCACAAAAATAGAGATACAGAACCAGGGAGCTGCATGAAGGAAGTGGTCTCGTTCAAGAGAACATAACTTCCTAAGTGGCACCAGGCTCTCCTGAACTCCAGAGACTGTACTTAAAACAGCCTGGCTCCTGATATGACACAGCTAGCTTTGGGACCAATGGTATTAAAGGGTGACTTTGTACAGATGGTTCTGTGGTCCCGGCTCCTAATTTTCTGCATGTAGGTGAAAGAATTGATGGTCTTTTTTTCCTGGGGGTGGGGTGGGGAGAGTATCTTTATTGGTGAGTGGCACATAACTTGATAACAGCGATGTAAAAAGGGATGAGCAAAATCGGGTTCTCCGAGGGTTGTTGGGCTGATGTTCCTGGCATGCCTCACCTCTGACCAAAACAGAAGAATGAGAATATCAAACATTCTTCCCTCTCCTCCCTGTTGTTGCTCCTGGCCTCTAGCGATCCCGCTAACTGAAACTGAAAGCCCTTGTTCCTCTTCTCTGATTTTTTTTCTCTAAGCCAAGAGGTGTTATTTGCATCAGGCAATGAATACAGCTGCCCCCGAACTGTGTAAGAAATGATTTTATGATCTGAATCCTGACAAGGAGGGGACCCAGGCTGTAGTGGAGGCATGTGGCATTTCTCCCTTCCCTGGGCAGCCTCTTATCATCTGAGCACCAGGCACTGATGACGGTGGGACTTACGTTTTATTGCAAGGTTGGGTATCCTGAAACTGCCGAGGCTTGTATGACATGCACAGGCTGTCCTGTCTCTTGAGAGAGGGGACTAAATGGCCGAGTAAACATTGACCTGCAGAGTTGGGAAAAGGGACGCACTAATTAGCAGTGGCACAGTAGGAATTAGTGTTCCTGGGGCGAAACAGCAGCTTTTTAAAGGAAATAAGAAGGAGCTTCCTATTCCCTGCAGAATCTGGCACTGCTGTTAATTAGAGACTTATTAGAGACTTGCTGAGGAGAAGGGAGATATTTCTCCAAGAACAACTGGAGGCAGAAGGATGATGTCTATGAAAGCGTAAGCCCTGTTTGCTTCCTGAAGGGGTGGCCTCCATTCTATTCCTCTTCCGGAGCCTCTCTTTCCTTTCCAAGCAAAGTTGGACTAGCAGGCAGTACAGCCCACCTTTTCCCACCCGTGTCCAAAGGCAGGTCCTGGGGTTTTTTGGGTTTGCGGTTGTTTTTTGTTTTGTCCCTCTCCCCCAGTAGATTCCCCTCCCCCGAGCTGCTCACATCAGCCACTGTTCCTTCTCCTTGCTGTACTGTTCTGCCCACCTGCGGGTCAGCTCCAGGTACATGTCTGGCTGATGGGGGGAGTAATCCAAGTAAAGCCGTGTCAGGGTCTTCATAGGCACTGCCTTCTCAATCTGGGTGCCCTCGTGCCACTCATTGAATGAAGTAATGGAAACAATCTCTGGGCGCACCACGAGAGCCGCCTGCAGGGCTGTCTCATAGTACTTGCCGTTCACTCGGTTGCGGGTGTTGTGGTTATTCCACGGCCTGATGCTTGTGTCGACGTAGCCGGGCCCCACGCTGGGGATGAAGAGGAGGTTGTTGGCATCGCAGAAGGCTTTGATGGCTTTCCAGTTCTGGTGGGAGGAGCCATAAGAGAAGCCATTGGAGGCAAAATAGGTGTACATGCCGTCATACCCAGCCGAGAGGATCTCCTGCTTGTGCCCTTCCTCTACCAACAGGGCAATGAAAACGGCGTCATAGGGAGTGTTGCGCAGGGAGTGGGACCCAGATGGGCTGAGCAAGTTGGCCCAGGCTTCAGGTGGAGTCAGGTAGGAGTCATAAATGTAGAATAATGGCAGGTTCCGGCCCGTGCTCGTCTTGTACCTGTAAAAGGCCTTGTGAGTCCCATACCTGTCGAGAGAACAGCCTGCTGTTATGGCCCAAGCATGGAGCCAAGCCAGCCTTACCCATGACTTTACTCTGGGCCCATCCAGAGCTCTGGCACATTGCTTGTCTTCCGCACCCAGGAGTGGTTGCGGTCATCTGCCCTGGTTTTCCTGTGTGTCAACAGAACCCTCTCTGTGGAGCAAGCTGCCTCCCTCCCTCTCGGTACTGGGGACAGCGACCGCCTTCCCCAACACCTCCAGACAGCCTGGCAGGTAAAGACTTTTATACAGCAGGATATATATTTTCTCATTAAATAAAAGCCTTTGGCCCCAGGCCCATTAAGCAGTTTTGCAGCTAACGATCAAAATACATGAAGTGTGTGGCCTCAGTGGAACTGCTCCTGAGGCGCGGCCTGGGCCTCCACCCTCAGGGAAGCCAGAAGGCTCGTTTGCTGCTCTGTTGCCCACAACGTGTGCCCTTTAGGAGGGTTTGCTGGCTTTCTCAAGGGGCTGGCCTGGCCTGGCCTTGAGCATCAAGGCATCCTTTGTAGGCACAGAAGCACTTACTTGTCCAGGATATATTTCACATTGCTGTGCAGTGTGTTGTCATCGCGGCCTTTGTATGGCTGTATGTGGAATGTGACCTGTGGGGAAAAGGCAGGTGGAGACAGTGGGACATGGGTGACTGCATTGCTTAGAAAACAACCCCCCCACAAGACTCTTGATCACCTCGACACCTCCGTTAGTGCCCCACGTCATCCACACCAGGGATTTTCAGAGTGAGAACCAGCTAAATGTCATGGCCCCAAAGTGTACGAGAGGGTTCCCTTGGGTTTCTGCTGTATGCTGGTGGAACCTGTAACACACAAATGCTCCCCCACAATTCCCAAGCATCTGGGCACACCTGGATGGCATAGCGCTGTGCAGCATCCAAGATGAAGGGGACCAGGCTCTCCGAGGGCTCCCCGTTCTCATCTGCAACACCTGGTGGGTACCAGGACAGAGCGATGACGCCTGCAGGGAGAAAACGGGTACCTCCATCCAGTAAAGGGGGGGGGAGGCTCTGCTCTGGGTAGGGAGGGCTGCAGAACCATCCCAATGCCTTCTTTCCATTTTTGCTTCAAGAACCGACCCACCCCGCCCCCAGTCCAAAGGAAACGGGACAGGAAAACTCTCAGGTGGGAGCCCGCGGGCCCTGGGAGGCGGAAGGGGCGCCCCACCGGAGCCCCGCTCCTGCCCGGTCTTCTGCCAGGCCTGCGCCGAGGGGTTCGCCAGCGCCGAAGCGGACTCTGCCGCAGCCGCGGCGCGCCCCGAGGAGCTGTCCGGGGCAGGGCGGTGCTGAAATGGCTCCCGGCGGGCCGGAGGGGCTAGGGGGGGCCGGGCCGGGCGCTGCAAGGGGGTGGGGGTGGGGTTCGCCGGGCGCGCGCCCTTACCGATGGCGGCGGCGCGCAGCTGGTGCATGTGGTCCTCCAGGACGCCCGGGTCGCGGGAGCTGTAGGGCCCGAGCGCCGGGTAGAAGCTGGCCGCCAGGTCCTCCGGGGGGCTGTGGCGGCCCTTGGCGTAGCTGGCGGCGATCTTGGGGTCCCAGTGGGGCACCATCGCGTGGTCCCAGTGCACGTAGCGGCGGTCGAGGCGCGGCGTCCCGTACCAGGTGTAGTAGAAGGCGTGCAGGGCAGGCGAAACCCGCCAGCCAGGCCGGGCCCCGCCGCC